AAAGTCAATTGCAAGACGCACGCCGGTGAATTAATCTCAATTGTCGGCGGGCCTCATGTCATTTATCATGACTCGTTACGAGCGGGAAGGCGCGAGGGCGAATACACACGGATTGATATGGAGTTAGCTACGGTAGCCTGTGTACGATTGCGTCGTGATCGCCGCTCAGATCTATCAGTCAAAACGACGAGGGTCCGAAGAAGTGCGAACTAATTTAAAAAATGCGTAGGTACTCTCTCGAACGAGCGACGTAAAAATAATGTGTCAAGAGTGTGTGTGTGTCTCTCGTGTCAGCTGTTTGCGTTTCAACTTTACGTGATAAGAATTGACGATTTTTCCACGCGTTTCTGTGCATTCTTGAGAGTATATAGTTGATGATAATACGTGTACTAGTATGTGTCAGTTACTATATCCGGCATGAGAATGCCGATATGATGTTTATGGATTTTGCAATGGCGCTGCTCTTGTTGCCAAATACCGGCGATTATTTTCCGATAGACAAATTCCGAAGCGGGAAGTGTTTATTAGAGATGCACATTCAGTGTTTAGTCAATATTGCTGGCATACTACACGAGTATCGTACAGCTCTCGTTGAGGATCGAATTAATATTTACGGGGGAAAAATGTTCCTTGTTTTGGATTGCAAAGAATCCGCCGAAATTTTTAGATACACAATACGGAATAGTTTGGAAATGAGAAGAGACGAATATATTAATCATCTCACACTTTTGACAGTACGAAATTAAAATTTAAGTAATTATATCTTATAAAGAAATGTGGCAGTGATTTTTTTTTCACAACTTGGAATTTTGAAATTGAATCGAAGAAAATCAGAAATTAATGTCGGAAAAAGTCAGACGTCTTATTTCACTTGCCCTATTGATGTTTGTGGAATGTCAGGCATCCGCTGATTGAATTCGGGAAGGGGCCTTCCACGGGTCGCGCGCAGTTTGATAAATGTTGTCCGTCTCTCGCGATATGCCGGATAATATCTGTAAGGATCTGGCAAGAGAGAGAACACGGAGGATCGGACTCCCGGCCCTTTTTGTCGGCGACGGCATCGTTTGTAATTCGAATCCATCGCCCTTCGCGCGAAGGAACCGGAGTTTCAACGCTTGTAGTACGTCAGCGAGGAATCTCCCGTCAGTAATTTATGGTCTCGCCACGTTCCCGAATTAAGTCCCCCATTTTTCCTCTCCGCCCTTACGTTTGTTTGAATTAGATCGCGCCCTCGCTAAATTGACGTGCATCGCGCCAACACAAAATTATATCTTTGAAACAAGAATTGATATAGATATAATTTAGTGAGATTTTTTTTAGATTCTCTTACAATTGCAAGTATCCCTTTAAGATCGCGTTGCGTCTGCAACGAGGACACTCGTTACGAGAGAGAGTCGCGGAACCCCTTTCGCCTCGAATGTCACGGTCCTAAGGGTGGAATTTTCACTCCTGGACTCGCAGAAGCGCGCGCTAAGGATCATGTTACGACCCTCCACGCAGATCCAGGTCGTTTATTATTTCGACTTGGTCGAAATATCTACGAGGAAACGACCCTCCTCGAGATGTACGGAGAGAAAATGTCGCGCCCTCTTACGAGATTAATTTTGTATATAGAATTAAACACACGCAAAATCACTCGTATCAAGTTAGCATTAGCCAGTTATATATATATATATATATATATATCTTTTAGCAATTTAGTTTAATTCAAAATTGCATGTGAATCATTTTAATGTACCTTTTGATAATTTATTTTATACAAAGTGGACTGCAATTTTTTTCGGCGATTAAAATTTTCATGTCAGTTAGCGGCTCTGCAAAATTTTCGTCTCGTTCGCTCGATGGTTATGAATGTAACAGCGTGTCGACCGGCGTTACGACGTTCGGGCTTTACGTTACTCGATAACGGGATAAACGCGCGAATAATTGGGGATTCGCGATTTAGGTATAAAAAAAAATGTTTACACGCCGCGACATGCGACGACGCGTCGCGATAAAAATTCATCGGCGTATGTGAATGCCGGAACGCCGATGGCACGTGTATCGTTTATTAAAAAAGCTGTTGGACGGCCGCACCGGATCGAAGAGCGCGGGGACATACCTTCGCCATTTTACAGAGGCCCTTTGTCGTGCCGAAATTACAATTGCTATCGTCATTATCGGATGCGTTATGCGCACGATGCGTTTGGGGTGGACGCGGAAATCCCACCCCATTGTTTGTCGCGCATCCCGTTTTGATCGAAAACGTCAAAGCGGCTGAAAAAACATACATACGTCTCCCTGGAATTCCGACCGGAAAAATATAGCCGGGAGGAGAGAAGGGCATCGAGAGGAACCTCCGCGTTATCGGATTCAGAGCGATCTAATTTCATCAAATAATATCAGGAATCGCAGCCGATCTTTCTTTCTCGGTCTTCGAAGCCTCGCCTGTCTTTAATGAACTCCCGCTGCTCGAAGCGGCCATTTCTGAACATCGGATGGAATCCCCGCAGAGCTCGCCATTACCGATGCAAAATTAAAGCTAAGGATACGGAAGGGTCCTGCGCGTTTTCGGGGTACGCGGCTTATTAGTTTTGCGTGGGCGAGCGATTCGCGGCCGCGATTGTTTACGGAGAAATTAATTCTCGCGACGACGAATTTAATATAAACGCTGCCTCTCGCTTTTTCTCGTTGAAACGGTGGTTATCCTTCCCTCCCTTTCTCTCGCGTACGAGACGGCGCACCTCGAGCGAGGTAGAGAACCGCGATCGCTAATTATTCGGATATCGTCGAGAGATCCGCGAACGTAGGAGCGGTATTACGTGCGCATAATGAAACCCGCATTAACGCATTCGCGCACGCGGATACACGCCAACATGCACGTACATACGCGAAAATGCGCGGCGACGTCGAGCGTAATATTCGACTAATTACAAATTTAATAACCCCCGGGTTCGTTGCCGGTTATTGCGAGGCCGCGACGTCTAAATGAATCGACTCTGCGCGTTGCGTCTCTTTCCACCCACGCGCTTCCGCCTGACGTTCTTCCTCACTCGCTACTTGGCTACTTCCGAAGATTGTCGACGATTTTGTTGTCGGAAAAAGGGGGAATATGAAAGAGCTAGGGATACAAGACGCCACCGCCGTCTTGATAGACTCGCATTACCAATTAAAATTTTATTATCATCGAAATTAAATTGTTATTCGAATTATTGCGGTGCCCGATGGCGACGTCGTGTCACTGCCATTATTACCTTGAAGAAGTATCCTTTTTTTTTTTTAGATTCTCTTCCTCGTCGGGAAATCTTTACATTTTGCGGCCTGTGCGAGACGCACACATAAAGCCGCTCTCCGTTTCCCTTAATACCGCCGTAACTTATCGCTCGTAGACACAGTATTTCTCTCCGGCTCTTTGAAAGCATTTTCTCATTAAAAAATTAAGGGTAAAGAAGAGGGGGGGAAACGGGCGGGAGTGAAAAGGAGCGAAGCGGTTGCAGAGGGTCGAGGGGAGGGGGAGCGAGGGGGATCGAGTTCGCGGTGCAGAAACGAAGTATGGGGCTGAGACAGGAGGGTTTTGCGGCGGTGAGCAAGGGGGCGGGGGCGAGGGTGGACGGAGGGGTCGGTAAGTGCTCTGCGGCTCCCAGATGCGCCCAATATTATGTTTAATGATATTAACTTCTTACTTAATGGTCCGCGGTTCGATTCGAGGTGCGAAAAAGGCGCCTCCCCTCCCCGGACCGCAACCCATAGAAGCCGGAAAAAATATACCCGGGAGGATAATTTGGCGAGTCGAGTACGAGAGGAGAGAAAAGAGAAAGAGGCAAAAGGCGAAAAAGAATAAGAAAGGGAGGGAGAGAGAGAGAGAGAGAAAAGGGAGAGAAAGCGATATAAGAGAAGTGTTCATACAATAGTAAAAGAGCATAATTATATGTGAGACGCATTTGCTTCTTCTCTCTCTTTCTTTTTCTTTACCCTATGCAATATAAAGCAGTGACCTTTGCTATAAACCTCATGATAAAAGCCGCGGCGGACATCCCTCTTTTTCTGCCGAGGGTTGTTCTCGCCCTCAACTCTTTACTCACGATTAAGGAATCCGCCCGCCTGTTCCTTAGCCAAAGGGCTTGTATCACGGAACTCTCTTTTGTCACCCGAAAATTATTTTCTCTCTGCCGCGAAGTGATATTATTTCAGAGGAGTAGTCAAACGCTCATTAAACAATATGACGGGGTTGTTGATAATTTTTAATTATTCCATTAATCGCGATCTGTGGAAAATCTGTCGCAAGAGTCGATCGTACTTTTCGTGGTGACGTTGAGGAAATTATACTAAAATTTTGTAAGAAGCTTTTATTTTGTTTATTCTTCATTTATCTCGGCTTTATGATGGTTTCCAGACCATCCGACTCTGTAATCCTCGCTCGCTTTTTAATGCGACATTGAGACAGAAATCTTAACGATTCTTGGTAAATCATGATGGACCCCGAGGGCACGAGTGCTAAACAATATAAAGCCAAGATTAAAAAGTTTCTCGTGGCGCGGGAGCGTAAAGCTCCGGCGTCGCATTAACGATGCTCGAGAGGAAATCGAAGTAAAATTTAAAGCGGAAAAACCGCGGAATCTCTGTGAAACACGCTTTACGAATTCGTTTCCGCTGCGTTTGTTTGCAGACACTTTGTTTTGCAAATACATTGGAATAAATTTCATCAACTTATTGTTGGCGACGTGAAAAATGAGATTCCTCTTTATGGCGCCTTTGTGGCGGATTAAATGAATGCGATGTCGCAGAGGACGAGGCGATTAAGAACGATACATGGTGTACGAGTGATACGACCGAGAAGCGTCGCGGTGTGCGAGACCGATACTTATCTTCCTACGCGGATCCCTTGCGTCCAGCGACTAGAATAATTATTTAATTAATACCCTCCGTAGCGCGACGGAGTCCACCTCCGCGTTCGCTCGCTCGATTTAAATCCCCTCGGATTAATACGAAACCTTTCTTTTCTTTCTCTTTCTCTGTTACAGGCTCCGCGAGGAGAGAAGCGACAACGAGAGAGCGCTGGCTTTGGACCACAAACCCAGGGACCTCAGCTCGCACAATGGTAAGGTTGCACAAGTAAATCTCTCGATAGCGCAGTTTAATCATAGCAATTCCTTCGTTTGCGTGAAAAATTAATTTTTCAGTTTTAATTGACGTACACAGAAAAAAAGGACACTCTTGTTTTGAAAATATATTTAGTTTTAACATGGACATTTTGAAATGAGATTATATTGCGTTAATTAAAGAGAAATATAATTGCTTACTTGAATGAAGTCATTTTATATAATTCAGTCGAGAAAAATATATTCTTATGATTTAAGATTTAATTTTCTTGAATGGAAAAGAAACAATGTTAGATAGAAAATAACATTTTTAAATCAAAGATTATAATTTTCTTAAAGTAGAATTAAATAATTATATATTCTTGAGGTGACAATTGCAATATTAAAATAATACTGCTGAAATTTGAAATTATTAAATTCTTCCAAGAAGATTATAAATTGTTGCGCATACAATGAACGCGTTAGTTTAAGCATATAAATTTTGATTTGACACTTATTTTTTTTCTGTGTAATTATGTCAATTTTTATCATTTTACATTTGTTGAAAATTTAATAATTCAACATCAACTAATAATTAATGATTTTTAAATATCGATTTAATCAAACCGTATCGATAAATTTTAAGCTTTTTAATTTCTTTGTTTAATTAATATCAATTAATTAATATGCGTGAAGCAAAGAAAATGTCTGCTTCGAAAGAATGCGCCGAGTTATTCCATGGACGTTTCTTACGGGCTTATAATTTCCAATATCGTTTCTCGTATTCCTGTCTACCTGTCTCGTCGCGGCGCCTGTCACCTGGATTAAGTCGGTAACGCGAGATGCTTAATCGTCAGAGTTGTCAGAAAACGGTCGATCGACTCGAAGTCAAGCGGCGCAGAAAGATTTTTAACCACGACAGTCCGGCGCGGCGAGATCCGACAGAGTCGGATCGCGATCGTCCTTTTCTGTATTTCTCTACCTTTCTTTCCATCTGGCTTGTGTTTGTCCGCGGTCGAACGGAGATCCCATCCCGGGCGTTTAGGATCTCTCAGATTAAGTCCGATATCGGGTTACGCCCTGGCATGGTCCTTGTACCTCTTTTTCCGATTCCATATAATATTATAATCCGTCCGATGGAATCCTTCTCTCCCCTTTTCCCTTCCGTGATAGACTCACCTACGCCAAAGACGACACATTTCAACGTTTACCAAATACATGCTTCGCATTTTTTAATCTGTCATATGTAATGTCAATTTGTCGATTGATTATTTGCTATATTTTGATACAAACACACATGCAATTACATTTATGAGATCGATTCGCGCAAGAGACCCTTGTAGATTTGAACATCCAGGGATAGTAGCTGAAGTACGTAGGAGTCAATTTAACGCAAAAGATGTACGATTCATTAGATCGCGCGTTGGGAAGAGAGCCGAGAAAATCGCGACCCCTCTCTTTCAATGGCCAACGAGATACATGGAGCTTCGGGGCGCGTACGTGAGCTGGTCTTTACTACCATATACATGTACACGTACTCGTTGGTGTAGCCGTGAGATCACGAGTGGCCCGAAGCAATGCGTCAGCGCCGACGACCGTTGCCCAAACAGTATCTATCTATGTCAGGATTAAAATACTAGGATATCAAATACGCGCGCGCGTTCGCTTAGAAAGGTCGGAGGAAGGAAAAAGGGATGCGCGGAAAGAGAAAGAGGTGGTCGGTCGCAACGGGATGGAAGGGCGGAAAGGGAGATTCGGAAAGTGGATAGTCCGCTTGTTCTCGTCTAAACGGGGATGCGCGGCGGCAAATAAAATCCATCAACTTGTCAGTCCGGTCGATGGACGCGCATCTCGTTCTTCGTGACCGAACGTTCCTCGAGAAAGATTGACGTCGCTTTCCAGCGTTATTGTGCTGGGCACGAATACGGACAATGTCACTGCGAGTCTGATATCGATCGTATATTTTATATACTTATTAAATACAAATGGTCATTTGATTAATTTGAGCGATATCTATGTCTTCAGGCTCCTCAAACGGTCACAGCCCGGTTTTAAATCTCTCCAAGACAGTGGGAAGCGGAAGTGTGGGCGAGCAATCCGGAAGCGAGGCGGGCGCGTCGCACCGTTCTCAAGATGACGAGGAGGAGGACGATAATCTATCGGAGGACCTGGAGGATGACAACGAAAAGGACGAGGGTACGTTTTTAATTTTATTCGGAGAGAGGAGCGATTCATTCGCGAAGCGTGACAGCAACGCGATCCGCGTTGCCAGATACATTATATCTCTGATAAAGCGACGGGCTCGAAGGAGATTGTTCGCCTCGCAATCAATTAAAACGCGTTCTCTCGCTTTTGACGTTCGACGAAAGTCGAAAGGACGATTTCGAGTCGAAAAGCAGAAGAGAAAAGAAAAAGAGAACGAGAAGAGAGATTCGTGCTTGTGAAATAATTATATCGATTTTGCTGGACACGCCGCGTTTAAAGACGAGTTCTTCTAGACGGCTGGCGGGTCAGGCCCTCTCATCCATCATCTCTACCGAGAGAGCGCGAGGGACGCTTCGGGATTCGTCTTCCATCGTGCTCTGAGAAACACGTCGCAGCGGTTGCCAAGTCGCATGTAAATCGGAACGTCCTTAATTGCCTCGAATTAACGCGAGAAAATAATATTCAATAGAAAGATTATAGGTAATTATCGCTTCTCTTAATGAATTCGTCAGACGCGTCGCGTGTTTCGCGATGTGAAACTCTGATTTTCTTCAGCTTCAGGGTTGTCTAAAATGCGCGGTCTCCGCGCGAGAAGCGTCACTGTCGGCGGAAAGCGATCATTAGACTCGCATCTTCGGTATTTAGTTTCATTTTTTCTAATGAAAGATGGATCGAGAGATAGAATCTCCGTCCGAGCTTTGTCTCGCTATCTCACCTTGTTCCGACTCACCGAGGCATCATAATCGTTTTGATTTCTAATCGACTCGACCATTGTCGCGCCGGCATGTTAATTGGCCGGTCCAATTAATGAATCCGGAGAATCGCTTGTAAAGTCGCGTATCCGTTCCACGTACGTGAGATCGGTTCCACGAATGCGTTTCCTGCGGAAAGGAAAGAGGAGGGAACGCTCGAGAGAGGACGCGTTCGATCATCTCACGTTGTCTTAATTAATTTTGTTCCTTTGAGAGCCGCGATTTAATGCATCGAGCGGTCGAATCATTCGAGAGAAAGCGATCTCGCATTCGCGGGACCCGGTGATTTATCAACGAATCCGGGACATTGCGTTTTCGGGAGTCGTAAAATTCACAGAAAGCGCAAAATTATTCGCCATTCTTCATGCTGCGAGGAGGCCGGTTGGCTGACAAGTGGATTGGAAGACATTGTGGCTCGCAAAATTACGGGATCCCGCGTATATCCCCCCCAAATTAGTGGGCCCTTAAATTCCGCGAAAGGCGCGAGTTAGACGTATAAATTCCGCCGCAATTCGTGTACGACGAGGGCAGGAGGAGAGGGGAAGGGATCAAATCTGTGTCTCGCAGCGTGTCGTACGCAACATGGATACCTACCTACCTACGGTTTGCTCACGGATGATCTAAGTAGAACCCCATCGAACGCCCGTGGGAGTGTACACGCTCGTGGAATGCGGTTCTGATTTAATGAGACACTATCTCTCGCTCTCATTCTCGGAATCGGACTTGCCGAAATTTCTCCTCCGATTTTCTGCATCTGGCAATCCTCGGTCCGAGCCCAGCCCGATCGTTCGCTTCGAGACAAATTGTTCCTTTCTCAAATCTCCCTAAGCGATACATCTTGACGACTTATTCGTGAATAATTTTCCGCCTTTTTCATCGCGGTGGTCCCACCGCCTGTCGTCGAGAGGAAGAAATTCGAAGGGCAAAGGACAAATTTACGCGCCTTGGCGGTGCAAAGATTCCGAGAGACTCATTCCTTCTCTCCTGATAATTGTAATGGGCCGCCGCGCGAAAGATATAAGCGCTGAAAAAAAGGAGAGGAAATGAGGATCGAGGTTTTTAAGTGGACAGGGGGGACCGAGCGAAAGGAGAGGCGACGCGCTTCCCTATCAAAAGACGCCGGCCAACATCGAAGACGCGCGCCGGGCATTAAATCGGCCAATGGCAATAAGTAACCGCGATTGCCGAGTGGCGTTGTAGGTGCGCGCAGATAATTAAAAGACGATACAATAAACCACGTATCGCCAGCCGTAAAGCAGCCGGGCTGCTAAAGCCTACGGTGCGGGCCGGTCTGTTCCGCGAGCGATCACTTAAGTCTGGGGAACCCACGCAGACATCTTGTCTCACCGCCACTCTCTCTGGCCTCTTCGGCAATAACCATAAGGCATCCTTTATTCCGGCGCGCGATTCCGCCAGATCCTTCTCACTGATCTCAAGGGCGTGATCAATAGCAAAGTGTCAATGTTTCAGGCAGAGCTTTCCTCTAGAAGCGTCCCGGTGGTCCAGTTATTTTATCTATTCTCTCAGTTATCAAAAAAAAAGATATATAATATATTGATTTAATTATAGGATATTTTAAGCTTGACATTTTTATTTTACTCCAAATTTTTTAGAACGAAAAAATGTATCATCGTAGCTTGTAAGAATTTTAATTTTGCATGGCTGATCGAAGAGCTGTAAATTATATTGCAAAATCATCGATAATAATGTTTCGTTGTGTTTCTCGGTATTTCATAGTGAGATGCTAAACAGCCGATCGGCCGAGACGCGACTAATCGTCCGAGAAACGTGTAACGTTCAATCGGTGAATTTAATTCGCCCGTGTTGATGTTAAATCAAAAAGTGGCGAAGGGTAACAAGTAGTCGTCGCGAGATTACGACTCCGAGACACGCACGCGGTACAAGTCTCGCACGTCGGGAGGGGTCGGACGTTGTTCGACGTTCGTTGCGGTGAATTTATCATTGACGTTTTGCTCTCGACAACGCTTAGCGAGGAAGGAATCTCACGCGAAATGAGCTCGACGCTTTTTACCGAATAGACGGCATTTATTTATCGCCGGCGAGAGTTTCTCGCAGCCAATCTTTCGTTCGCCGGAGATTCTTCGGGTGAAAATGAGATGAGAAATTTTGCTTTTCAGATTTGTCGGACGTGCCGGAGAATCTGCCGTTGCCGGCACCGGGCTCGGAAAGTCCTCCCCAGGCCCTCAACTACTCGCAGATAGCCTCGGCGGCGGTCGCCGTGTCTCAGAGTGCCCAGGACCCCTCGGTCTCGAGTACGGAGACCCTGCTGAGGAATATCCAGGGCCTGCTCAAGGTCGCGGCCGACAACGCGAGGCAGCAGGAGAGGCAAATCAACTACGAGAAAGGTCAGTGGCAGGGCTTTCTTAAGACACTTGAGGGCGCTCTCCACAATTTCATTATCTTCCAGCTCTCCCAGAACCACATTAAGAGGCATTAGTCCCTGTCCCGTCGCCCCTCCTCCCCGAGCTCCTCTTCGCGCTCCCTGCTCTCTATTCCACGGCCTCATCTACCGCATTCTCCTCCCCCTTACGCTTCAACTTTTGTCTTGCCTGCATCGCGCTAAGATGCTGAATGCGCGAACTGGAGATGATAATGTGCGTAATCTGGGGGAGCTGGACGTGAAAGCGAGACTCGCAGGATAAAAATGAAGACAAATATCGGTGAATGACGTATGGAATTTTGCTTTTTATCTTGATGTAAACTTTAGCGTACACGTCGTATACTTGTTGCTTTTCCTCGCGCACAAAGTATTTTAATATCCGTGCTAAAGTGTGTATAACGTAGGATGGTAATTCGAGATGCATATTATTACTGCGAAATTCTGAAATCAATAAAACGAGCATCTCCCCTTTGAGTGGCGAATTTCAAAAGTGATTCATGCAAATATTTTATCCAAGGAGCGACATGAACCTCCCCCCCGATGAAATATCGCTCGTAAAAAAAGAAAAAAAAGAAATCTTGCGTTCGGCGCATCGCAAAGAGATATCGTTCGCGATTCGGGGGATAAATTTAAATGTCGTTGTCGCGTAGATAGAGTCTGTACCGTAGATTACGATGAACGTAGGCAAGAGCCATTAAGAACGAGTCGGTGCGGCGCGAGATGACGTGCAGCATACGACTTCTTTCTCATTAACGGCGCGTGATAAATAACGCCGGCGCTATTATTAAATATCCTCGTCGCGAGATCGTCTCAGAAAATTTCACACGAAAAAGGAGCGGGTACGATGCAAGAAACGGCGCGTATAGAAATCGTCTCTCACGAGTCGAGGTTTCAAAGCCGTTGGAATTAATAACTTTATGATAAAAAAGAACAGAAAACAGAGATGTTTCAATGTATGTAAATCATCAAGTCATTTATTAGATATCGATCGAAAAATATCCTCGCGATTTAATTGTAACGACGTTTGACAAAAAGTCGCATTGCGATATCCGGCGATCTCTGTATCTCTTATATGTCATTAGATATAAACGATTTGCCATTATAGCCGCTAATTGTTACTGCTAATGGTATGCGATAATTCTATTGTCTAAGCTTGGTTGCGAAACATAAGGGACGAGGGATCGGCAATCGCTGATTCATGAACGTCTTATAATAATTATTAATATAATTATGGAGAAAAAGGAATATACGAATAAAATGATATGCAACGTGAGTGATTTTATAGCCGAGCGATCGCAGTTTGTCGATGTAATATCGGCGAATCATGCGTAAAAAGAATGGAAAGAATAGTAAAGCTTGAGATGTTTTCACGCGAAATTCAGCTTTCGCGACATTTCGTCCACGAACTGTCATCGATCGGCTATATCCGTTTCTATTTTCGCAACATGCCACCTTTGATCGTTATGAAGTCCCGTATTTATAGCACAGTGCTGGATTATCTGTATATCTAGAGTCTCTGGAATATAAATGTCGTCCAGCATATAAACATATATTAAATATAAATGACATTTAGTATTTTTCTAGATACACGCATAATACATATATATACTTTCTTTTAAAATTATAATCCTTTGAAGCGACATTTTACATGTTATATCGCGAACGTGGAATAAAATTGCCACGTTTGGCGCCGAATGTAGTCTCCGAGGGGTTCCAAACTCGCACATGAATGAACCGGGCCGACGACGACATATCGCAACGGAAACGATACACACAGACTCTCGATGTACACAGGCGTCCCTTATCTGCATTTTCGCAGGTTTTAAGTGGCGGATCCCCATAAACGAGCGCTCGATATCCAGCCGGAGTCGCGCGTCCGGAGCGGCGCGTTTAATAAATTCCGCGCGAAACGTAACCACGGGACTTTAATTACCCATTAGCCGATACAAAGTGTCATTTTCAGGGTCGTTAACTAATGTGTTTGCCGGCATTAACGTTAGGAATGCGTCGGGCATCGCGCCTTAAGCGGCTCCTCGTAGTTGCACGTGTGCGTCGATTCGCAGGGGAGTAGGGGTAGATTCCCGAGGGGAAGAGAGAAAGAGAGAGACACCATAAAAAGAAATCGACGATTCGCTTCCCATGGCTGGTGGCCGCCTTCGCCAACCTCGCGACTTAACGAACAGTCTTCGACGATTGTGTCTTTTTCGTGCACGACTCACTTGCATAATTCGTGCCTTCCTTTCGGCGACGATATTCCGCTAACGACATTGTGGATTCCCATTAAGTCACCGACACCTAAAACCGACTCGTAATAAGGGAGAATCTTTAATATCATAAATTTATGACAGCGGATATATACATTTCTTGACATTTCCGATTTGATATATTGTCAGTGTCACCAAGATGTTTCAATCGGTAGTCCTCGATTCATTGATGGCGCGATATCTTCCTTTCTTACTCCACGATAAGCGCGTGGACTTTAATAAGAAGGGACGCGGGCGATCGAGAAATCGACTCGTGAGCACGTGAACGTTAACGAATTCATTTGGCGCACGTTGTGACATTAAGCTTGGAATGTGCGGTGGTTATTGTTGATCGGATTCCACGCGCTCGACGCAGAGATCTTCACCAGCACGATCGACAAGCCGGTTGAGAAAAGGGTGGCTGGAGGGGGCGGATAAAGGGCGCTGCTGCGGTAGAGGAAGGGAAGAAAAAAAAAAGAACGTGCCGTGGCGGGCAACCAACGGCGACGACGACGAGGAGGAAAACGGCGGGACAGCGGGGGAAGTAATCGGAAAGAGAGTAAGAGAGGTCCGATTTAATACTCGAACGAGCAGCTCGTTTTACACCAGATGGTTTTACATACGGCCACTATCGTGTTACCAACCTTCAGCCGTATGGGTGCATTCGCATCTTCGTCGGCACCGAGATCCGGGCGCCTTGGTGCTCGCATCCTCGTGTACACATATACACACGTGCATCGCGTTTGCTCGTCGGTTTTAAACCAATCTGGTGGAGATGCCTGGAGATGAGAGAATATTGTCGATATTACTCGTCCTTTTTTCTTTTTTATTAGCGATTCGATTGCTCCTACCGAGATACGGGATAGAGGACTGACTGTCGTCGTTGTTGCCTTAAAAAGAGCGAGACGCCATCGTGGCTCTCTCGCAAGCATGTCGAAGATCCGAAAGCGTTATTTACCCTCTCTCGTGCTTCGGCTCGAGTTTCGTAAACGTTAATGCACCGTGAGACACGTACGGAGATTTTTATTTATGCAACACGGGATGTTCGCAGCGCGAACACACAAAACACTCTCCGAAGATCGCGACAATCTCATTACGAAGACGCTCGTCACGCGTTATGCGTTTAATGTCGGCAGAGTAGCACGGGATTGAATGCTCGATTGAATAGGCTCGAAGGCAATCACACGATGATAATTTTCCAGATGAATGATTAAAAAGAGATGGTAAAAAGAGGCGGTTGATTTAATATTTTTCTCCATCTCTCGATCGTATTCCATAATTTTTGTTAGAATTATAATCAAGCCTGTAGTCAATTCTTCCGCAAAGCACTGTCTTGTGGTTCGACTCGCCGTTTCCCCCAATTGCAAAGGATAAAAAAAGACAATTGTGTCGATCCCGTCCGTTCTTATCAAAGATGCGCGCTATTCTCATTTATCGTTCAAATATTTGCTCGTTACTGGCGAATACACTCTCGGAGCCAAGATAGCGTTTCGTGAGAAGGAGAGGAGACCATCCCCCTCGCGCCGGTAAGTTACATGCCGCACGAGGAACAATATGAGCCCGCCGAGAGATCCTGGCGAGGAGCCAGCAGCGAGGCTACCATCTTCGATCTCGGACGAGATAAGGGAAGCGTAGGAAGCGGGATTATGTGTGTCCGGCCCCACCGGTCCCCGGTTAAAGGGCTCCTCTCGAACGCGGAATATAAAGAGGGGATTGAGTTGTAGCCGCGAGTGGAGGATCTTATGTAGATTCCTTGTAGATCGTGCACCCGATTCGATCGCGATCGGCTCTGTGTGTCCGGTACCGGGTTAATTAAAATTGTAGGAGCCCCGCAACATCTCCTTCTCTCTCTCCCTCTCTCTCTCCGTCCGTCCCATTCTTTGCCATTTTCCTCGGTCGCCGCGAGTAACGTCTCCCCGCTTTCTTTATATCCTTTTTGCGACCTTTTTTCCTCCACCTCCTTCCTCCTCTTCCTCGTTCCGTGCACCCCGGTGGCTGTTGAGCGCCGCAACCGCACCTCGCTACATAAAATCCTGCGATTTTTGGCCGTCGCTGCTTGGGAGGCTCCGCTCACGTGAAATCCTATTATCGCGAGCGACGGTGCGGCACGATGGAGGAGCAGGATGCGATCTCGTACTACAGGGCTATCGAGCAAGGTACCCGCGTTACGAATGAAACGCGAATTACCCACGCCGCTGTCGTGGCACGTAAAGCTACAAACGAGGCGAGATTGTCTTCCACGCTGATGGGAACTGCATTGCAATCGAGAGCCATTAGAGTCACGCAACCAAAGTCTTCAATCATAAATCCTCCTGATGATCTCTCGATATTGCCTTAAACTTTGGAACATTTCAAAGTAAACATTGAGGGCTGTAAAAAAATTATTAAATGTAAAATATATATTTCTCTCTGTCTCCTTCTGTTGTAAAGCACCGGAAGCTTCCCTGGCAAGTGTCTCTTCAGCTCTGATAAGACAGAGAGGGCGTAAATATTTCCAAGTGTAAACAGAAATATCGATAGAAACCTATCGTGGTGCTTTCGAGACGTTCGAGCCGATGGTTACCTCCTCTCGGCTCGCGGTTGAATGCAGGCTGATTGATTTATGCTTAACCCTGCCAACCGGCGACCCTCCTACCCTCCTCGCTTCCTCGTGCACGGAGGGATACGTTAGCTTAACCGAAGCTATCTCTATATCGCACGGCGAGCAGCCATTATCGCGTAA